CTGAGGCATATTGTTTCACCTTTTGTATTTTCAACACCTAACACCACTGTCCCACTGGGCGTGCCAAATTGTTTCGCGCGGGTTAAGTCGCTAACAATTAAAAGGGGTCAGACGATTGTGTAAGAGACGAAACCTCTTGAGACAAAGTCCCAAAAAGGGATGTTCTTTTATTGGCGATGGACTTTACAATTGGGAATGAAAAACAACGTGCCTCCAAGGGGCGCAAGCAAACAAGTTACAGAAAAATGTTTAAGTCTAAAAGCTAAGGAAATGAAAATTACATATTCTCTGTTCGAGAGTTTTGGATTCGGTCCTTTGCTTCCGCGTCCTTTCTCCCTTTTATACCTCCTAGACGATCTCTTTGTGATTAACTACCCTGAAAACTGCTTGATCGTCCTATAACTTCCCACTTTCTTTGTAGTGGCCATTTTGTCATGAAACTGCCTCTTAACTGCTGCCATTATCTTTCATCGTTCAACCGCTTTCGATTGAATTCCTTGAGTCGTGGAACGTGATAATGCTACTTTAACAACTGCCTTGATAACTGTATTCCTTGATAACCACGATGCGTTATATTTGTTGATACCTTGGGCGACTTGAAGGTTTGGGCGAGAGTGGAATAACAGCTCTGGGCGACCGTATGACACTCCATTCGTTCAGATTCTGGGCGACTCGCAAATTTGGGCGATGGCGTCACCGCATTCTTGGGCCCCTTATTTGGGCCTTCACCTCAATTCGTTTGATTGGACTTCGTTTTTTGGGCTATCCGATTTGGGGATCCTTCAATTGGGCTTTATTCCTTGGGCTGTTCGATTTGGGCTGAATTTTTATGTGTCAACAAATATATACACACAAATGGTCACTCGCCCTTTAAATTCTTAATGAGACATGCACATATTTTTTGAAATTAAGGGGAAGTTTTTTATAAAATAATATTAATTAATTAAGCTTTCAGAAAGAAATAGGAAAATGAATTTTAATCAAGAAATTGTAAGAGTATAGTAGCGTGTGAGAGATCTTGGAGGCATCATCTATGGACAAAAATAGTTCCATGGCTTCTTCTGAGAGAAGGATATATTTGTGTACTGAGAACAAGAATTTTTGGAAACACTTTTAATTTGGGCAGTGCACAGGTGCAATTTCTTGGTAAGGCCTTCTTTCAATATCCATATCATGGAAGATTTTTGTTAAAACATTGCTCAATACTTTTTTATTTTTTTTTTGAAGTTAACATGAATGTAATTCAAAAGTCTTTGGAGATCATATAATATTTATTATCATTCAAATAATAAGTCTAATAACTTTAGCAAAATTAGTAAACATAAACATTGCATTTACAAGCAGAAGCCACACAAGGGCAAAGATCTAACATGGATCAATATCAATAACTTACATCCAAATATTGGGGAACACTCATGATGGTAACAAATTGATAGTTATGACCATGACCGCAAAGTACTTAGGGATCATATGCATATTTCATTTAAATACGCTTCAATTGATATTAATAAAATTAATGCAGTAACATTCATTGAATCAACATCTGATGATCACAGGATATTTAATCTAAAAGCAAATCACCTCATCAACACTTTAGATTGTTGGGAAAAATGGTTGATTTGTGTGTAGATAAACTTATCAACTAATAAATTTGAATAACATAATTCAATAATTGCATAAACATAATAATATAAACATTATAATTCAATAATAAAAAGAGAGTTAGAATGCAAGTCTTGGGGAGTCACGAGTTAGAATGCAAGTCTTAGGGAGTCACGACAAAGACGTTGTCCTAAAGTCGTGTTGTCTCCTCTTCGTGCAGGTACTTTCGACATTAAACGGTTCCAAGTTAAAATTCATGTGGCTCACAACCGATATACGTACGACCATAGGAAGATAAGGAATGAGCTTTTATTGAGTTACCAAAATTATAGATACATAATATAAAATTTAGGTAGAGTATTTTTATATTCAAGTATTTCAAGTTCCGTTTTCATATTGTGTTATAATAAAATCTCCTCCCTTTTTATAGTATACAACTTAATCCCCCCCACTATTGAAAATAAAATAAAATAAAGTGTAAGTTAAAATATATAATTATGACTTTTAATTTTCTGTTAAACTTGAATATTAAAATAAAGGAAATCTAAAAATTAAAATCAATTTTCAGTTTTGAAAATTTTAAACTTATGTTACAACAGTAAGATCGGAGATCTTGAGCTCATTCACCCTCTTCTTAAAGTTCCACAAAATACTTCCTGTTAACTATTCTTTACTAAGGACTTTGATTGTATTTTAGTATTTGCTTGCCATTGAGACATGGAAGAACAATTTTTTCTTTTATAATATGGCTTTCTCTAGTGAGATGTGTTGCAGTTCAAGAGTTCAGAATCAAATGAACTTGATAGATTAATAATGTTGGGGATTGATTAAAAATCGAATGAAAAAGAAGGAATATCGAATGCTCGAAATTATACGTAATATAGTGCTGCTGCACTTTTTTTATGATTGTAGAAGAGAAGATATTATATTGTAAATTTTTGTGACTTCAATAATTTTAATGGCTTGAGTTACATGGGTATTTATAGATAAGATTTAAAATGTATCTAGCCTAACTCATGAACCAACATTGAATAGATACGTTTCTCCTCCTCTAGTACATTAATGGACAAATGCACGTATAATTATAATTCATGAATCTAGATAATAAATGCAAATTACGTTTCCAACACCCCCTCTTAATTTGCAATTTTGAGAATTTCTCTTGCCTTTTGAAATTTCTCGACATAGATCGCCTTGGTTAAAAAGTCTGCGGGTTGCTCATTCGTTCCAATGAATTCCAAGCTGATTTCACCATTACTCACCATACCTCGGATGAAATGATGTCGCAACTCAATGTGTTTTGTTCTCGAATGAAACACCGAATTTTTTGTCATGGCTATCGTAGACATATTGTCACAATAAATTACCCTGGGCTGTTTTTGAACTTGTTTCAAATCTGCTAGTAATTGTCTCAACCAAATAGCTTCACAAGTTGCATTTGTAACAGCAATATACTCAGCTTCCGCGGATGATAACGCTACTGTTTTTTGCTTCTTTGAACTCCATGAAACAACATTAGTTCCGAGACAAAATAAATAACTTGAAGTGCTTTTTCTATCATCCAACGAACCTCCCCAATCACTGTCGCTATATCCAATCAACTTGCTCTCATTTTTTTTTACATATTTGATGCCTATTTTCTTTGTTCCTTGCAAGTATCTCACAACTCTTTTAGCTGCTGCAAAATGAAGTTGAATTGGTTCATTCATGAACCTTGAGATCATGCTCACGACTTGAACAATATCGGCCTTGTGTTTGTGAGATAAATCAGTGAACCAACAAGACTCCTAAATAGTTTTGCATCTATTTTTTTTGCTCCGTCATCTTTTCTCAACTTATCGTTCGCTGCCATAGGAGTTGAAACTGATTTGCAATTCTCCATATGAAATTTCTTCAGAAGATCTTCTGTGTATTTCTCTTGAGAAATAAAGATTTCTCCTTTGGATTGCTTCACTTGTATTGCAAGAAAATACTTCATGACTCCTAAATCAGTCATCTCAAATTCATTCATCATTTTTCGCTTGAAATCCTCGACTAACCTTATATTGGTGCCAGTGTAGATAAGGTCATCTACGTAGATGCACACAATCAAGAAATCATGATCTTGCTTCTTCACATAGAGAGAGGGCTCATTAGGACTTCGATGAAATCCATTCTTGAGAAAATAGCCATCAATCTTGCTATTCCAAGTTCTTGGAGCTTGCTTCAGTACGTAAAGTGCTTTCTTGAGGTGATACACTTTATCTTCTTTCCCTTTCAATCAGTGCAATGTAACTTTCCATCACCAAGCTTCACTTCTAAATTGAAACTCTCATTAAGATCAATGAAATTTTTTTTATTTCCAGTCATGTGACTGCTGCAGCCGCTGTCTAGGTACCACACATTTTTTGATTGTTGTTGAGCCGTCATACAAGAGAAAAGTTGTTCATCTTCATCTTTGGTAAAGTTTGTTTCATCCTTCTCACCTTTGTTCTGATAATAACAATCTCTTTGAGAGTGGTTAGGATTTCTGCATCTCTTGCATTTGTAGAAGCAATCATTTGTTTCATGATTTGATTTTCTGCAAATTTTGCAAAAAATATTTGCATTTCCAGCTTGACGATTTGGATTTCCGTCATAGTTTTTTGATTGGTTGCCTTGTGTTCTTCCTTTTCCTCTTCCTCGAAATGATCCTCCTTGTCCTCGTGATGATTCTCCTCTTCCTTGGAAAGAACCTCCTCTTCCTTGGGAAGATACTCCTCTGCCTTCTTGCCGCTGTTTAGAATTTGAATTTTAAAATTTCATTTTGGACTCAAATGCTTGTTCAAGTGGCTGATTTGAGAACCTACCAATTCTTTCTTCATGTATTTGCAGGGAACTCATCAAATCGTTAAAAGTATATTTAGACAAATCTTTTGATTCTTCAATAGCGGCGACAATATAATCATATTTCGCGGGAAGGCTTCAAAGGACCTTTTGAACAACTTTTTTTTTTCAATTGTGTCGCCAAGGCTTCTGATTTGATTTACTATTTCGGAGACTCGAGTTAGATAGAATTGCATAACTTCATTATCTTTTTTTGATAAATTGTCGAACTCCCTCCAAAGAGATTGAAGCTTTAGAGATGTCACCTTGTCATTGCCATGAAATCCCTCATTTAAGATATTTCAAGCTTGCTTGGCTCTTTTGACACCGTGAATTCGAGGATATATGGTCTTGCTTAATCCTTGTTGTATAAATCTAAGAGCACTTGCATCTCTCCGTAAATTTTTCTTGTAATCTTTTTGTTGAGCCTCCGTCCATTCTTCTTCTTCTTCTTCATTATCATCAGGTTCCGGAAATCCATCTTCAACAACTTCCCACAAATCTTGCGAAATGAAGAGTGTCTCCATTTGACTACTCCAATAATCAAAATGCTCTCCTTCAAATATGGGAACTTGGTTAGGAGTATAGGAAAACATGGATGTAGAAATATAATTTGCTGCCATGCTTTGGAGAGGGGAAATAAACTGATACCAAAAAATTTGTTGGGAATTGATTAAAAATCGAATGAAAAAGAAGGAATATCGAATGCTCGAAATTATACGTAATATAGTGCTGTTGCACTTTTTTTATGATTGTAGAAGAGAAGATATTATATTGTAAATTTTTGTGACTTCGATACTTTTAATGGCTTGAGTTACATGGGTATTTATAGATAAGATTTAACATGTATCTAGCCTAACTCATGAACCAACATTGAATAGATACGTTTCTCCTACTCTAGTACATTAATGGACAAATGTATGTATAATTATAATTCATGAATCTAGATAATAAATGCAAATTACGTTTCCAACAAATAAAACATCGTGAATTTTGGTCATAATGAACACATAAGAATATTACTTTCGAGTTTAATTGATCTGTAATGTAGATATTACTTTGTGCAATATATTATGTACAAAAGATAATTGATAAATATTTGAGATTACACAAGGTAAGATGCTCAAGTAATATTTGAAATCTTTGACATGACTAAAAAATGGCCTACCAAACTTCCAAGTAAGATGAAATGTTCGAACAATTGAAAGGATTCAATCGGACATCATAGGTAGCTTTTGGATGGAGCTAGACGTCCGTCTGTTCGAAGAGAACACATCAGACAGTTGCCAAATAAAGGAATTTAGATGTCTATTAGCAGAAGATCACTATTTGGGAAGACCAATGGTGACGAATCAGACATCTGCAACATGAACATGCTACCATCATCCACCATATTCTCCAGTAAAAGTTCTCCACCATAGTCATTGTTATCTGCCAAGAGTCCTCTCTCCAGCTAAACCACTCCCACCGTTCAAAATTTGTAGTGCTGCAATTTCCAAATTTTGAAATATAGTCACCATCTTTTATTCAGCAAAAGAAAGAAAAGATTGTACTTGGGCAAAGCTCATTTACTCCTGTTCTCATCTTTATTCTATATCTTTGTTCTCATCTTCATCTTTCCAAAGTTAGCACGTAGTTTTAAGATTTCGGAGTAAATTTGTCGTGGAATCCTGACTAATGGTCAGGAGTTTTAGAGTTGATGGTTGCTCAATTGAGTCTAGTAATGGTGGCAGGATGGATAGAGTTGTTATTCTGGCCTCCTCGTTAATTTGGCTCACTAGGGATGTGTTGAAATTTAGTGGTGTTAATGAAATCGGATTATCATATACCGTATATGTAGTTTAGATATCAAATTTAAGCATATCGTATATGCAGGCAGCTTTCCGTATTTGCAGCTTACCATATATGCTGCCTACCGTATTTGCTTTTAATCGTATTTGCACATATTGTTGTTACCCATTTCATACATATATCATATTTTCACATACCGATTTTGTACATATCGAAATTTCATATTAATATAGCAGTAAAATTTTCCACATATCGAAATTGCAGTAATTTTTTTCTTTTTCAGATTTGTATTTTTAACATGAACAAAAATTAACATAGATTAATTTCAATAAACATAAAGAGAACGATATCATAATAAAACTAAAACATACGAATAAATTGTAGAAGTATTAAATAGTGGATGAACTTTCAACTCGAGGCCTGTGCAAGCGCAGTTTCCTTAAATTAGATTCATCCCCTCACCATAAGTGCTTGACTAAAACATACTGCAATGATAAAATTTGTAGAATATGAGCACCACAGATATTACTTCGACGAACTGATTAGTTTTCGAACAATATCACCATAATGACAATGATGACGTTGAACAGAAATCGAGATGTAGACAGAAAAAAATTTGCAGAATGTTTTTCTCCTATTTTCGTGTGTTGCAATTGCTGGAGAATTATGAGATTTAATATATGTTAAACTTGCCTATTAAACTCCATGACAATAAAATTTGGAGTTGCTTCAATTTCTGGGAGTTTTGATTGTTTTAGGAAACTCAAAGGTCAGTTGGAAAAAACAAAAAAAAAAAATTGTAAAACGTGGACACTCCAAACGGGCTAATTTTTACTCAGTTCGGTTCGACATTCGTGTACGTACACAAGTTCAAGGTCCGAAAACAATTTAGATCCGTGATTTGCACCCTCTCCGTGCACACGTGGAGAGAGCCTCTATACTACACATGATTAAATCATTCCAATGTACAACCATATTTAAAATGGTTCTTGCTTTTATATTTTTCCTATGCGGGACAAACTCAATTTTTTCCCACATAAATCATCTTCCAACAGTCAACTTTGAGCTCCAATTTCTCATTCATCTATTAATCAATTTTAACAAGTAAATATATAGTTTTGATGCTCTCACGGAGAAGAACATGGATCAACTTTGATCTTTCAAATTGGACCAACGGGTCCCATAAAAAATTTTGCCAAAATGAGCCACTTACTCATTTTTTTCAACAGGATGGTAGGTAGAAGAAAGTTACCTTGGTGCTTTTGTTGATAGTGGGATTGGGCATCCCACATGAATATTTTGCTTGTGAGCCGTGAGATGGAAATGCGAGCTGTGCACGTGGTAACACCAAAAGCATAAAAATGGGTTTTGCTTCTGTAGTGTGGTGGTGGTCTAGTTCACCTGGGAGGACAGGGACATAAAAAATGAAGAAGGTCAAATATTCTTCAATGTTAATGTGAAGATTTTGGAGCATATGATTTAGCCAAATCTGCTTGGGAGTTGGGGCTGACGTAGTTTTATTTAAAAATAAAATAAAATCAGGAGTATGATGTTAAAATGCAGATTCTTGTTCTAATCCATTCTGAATCTAATTCAAAGACTTTAGAACTCTGATTCTGATTTTGGTAGTGAAGCAAAATCCAACTTATGGTTAAATTCGGAGGTATTCACAGTTGGAATGATGAATATCTCTTTCATCCCAATATATAGACAAAAGTAGGAACCATATTAATCATTTATCAGAGTGATATGCTGTTGAGATGTATCTTGAGAAGGAAATAAGGTGTTCTGTTTGACAATGTTGGGTAACGATTATTTATTTGCTGAAGACAGTCTAGGTTTTAGTCAAAGCTTGTTTAGGTTGTTAGCTTGACTACTGTTATTGTGCAAGCTACTTCTATCCCAAAAATTTACTTTAGCGTTCTTTTCTATGTCTATTGCTGATGCGGAAAGAAGGTCCCTAGCATATTCCTAAGACATTTGTCCAACAATGGGAATATTTTAGAAAATTTCAGAGGAACGTGCATATATAGTGTGCTCGGATAGGTTAAGGGAAAGGAATAAGCCATTTGTACAATAGATTTGGACAGCATGCTTGACAGTGGTGTAGGTGTCAAAAAAGTGTTGATGAGAAAGATAAAGTATTTTTCAAACTGTCCAATGATAACCTACCACATAGCATGTTGTCAAACTTGTTATAAAAATCATTGTACAAGAAGCATGATTCTAAGGGAAATGGTTATCCCAAGGCATTTCACCATTTTCAACCGTTCGTGTGAAATTATCTTCTACATCTCTAAGAGTCATCATAGAGAATAGACTTCCCATTGATCTTCAATCTGCCAATCTGTCCACTCGTAATAAGGTTTTGAAAGGTGTAAATTTGACTTTATTAAACCATATGTTCACTTGGAATGCTGCCGATATCTATTTTCGAGCACCTCAGAATATTTATGTGGCATTTTGAAGTTTCATAATTTGACTCAACCAATCAAGCTATTACTATTCTTGATGTTGATAGCTGACTTTGAGAAATAAGTGATTATTATGACTTGCGCTGATCAAATATTTCTTTTCTTCTAATAGGAGCCCACATCAAGTTCTAGCAAGCACCATAATATGATTAATTAGACTTGTCATTCATCTCTAAACCAACCTATTTTCCTTGTCTTTTTAAGTTTCCACAAGGTTTAAATTTGATTTGATAGATCATATATTCACTTGGAATGTTACCAATGTATCAATTTTCGAGCAACTCATAGTATATTCGAAAGTGACAATTTGATTCAAGATATTATTGCCCGTTGAAGTCAATAGTCAATAAGTGATTATTCCTAATTATTATGACCTTAGATTGTTTATTTTTTCTTCGAGTTGAATCCCATACCATCATCAAAATTCTACTATGTTGAAGGGACATTTGTTCCCTGTGGACTTATGAATCTTATAAATGGGTTGCTTAGTCATCTTCTTTAACAGGTCAAATGGAATATTACAACCAGAGTGCGCCTTTTCTTGTTATTATAATGTATGTATATATCTGTTTTTGGAATATTTTGGCCTAACTTGTTGCTAGATAATCAATTCATTATTCAGAAACAATTATTTAGTCACTGGCCAACTTATGCATGTATTAATGGTTTTCTAATCAGCACAAAATTCCACTAATCTGCTCCGTCTGGCTAATATTATTGCTTGTTGTTTCCAAGACACCCGCCAGATTAATGCATAAATGATACATGGGAGTATTGCACTAGATAAAGCATACATTTGAGTTCAAATTTATTGAAAATAAAGCTTAGAATATACGTCAGTAGGTTTATTTATAAGGTAAATAAGTTTTAAAACAATAATCTTTTTATTTAATTTAAATAAAGTAAATTATTTATTTAGATAGTAACATCATAGGAGTTTCTTTTAAAGTATCACATTTCCTGTACATATGGAATTATTCTACAATATAAGCAGAAATTGGCATGGTCTATATTCTTTACATATTCAAAGAAAGATGCTACATGTAGATATGTTGACGAAAGGCCACCTGGCATTCTATCATTGAATTTTGCACAAAAACACAGTCATGGCAGCCAACGAGATGCTGCTACATTGCAACTGTAATGGAGCCTGGCATTTTTTGTTGGAGATATTTGGGAGATGGAGAAGAAACAAAAGAGAAAATCACAAGAAAATATGGCAATAAGATGGATCAAAACAAAATTTATATCAACAAATGTGAAGACTTGAACACAAGATCGTTGTCCTCAAACGTTATTTGTCCCTTCTCCGATATATTTGAGATGCTAAAAGGTATTTCGGCAAATGGTTTGAAGGA